CTCAGACTCCTGAGGTTTGGCCGCCCGCTCGGGCTCGGGTGCAGGTGCGGGTACGAATTCAGAATCTAGAGCCGTGTCCACCGTTCGCTCCCTCCTCTTTCGAGGTTCGCTGCCGTCCTGATCCAGGCGCAGGCTAGAAATACCAAATTTGACGAGGTTGCCGTAGGGAGCCTTCTTGGGCTTCTGCGGCTTCTGTGGCGCGGAAGAGGCAGCGCCGCCGGTAGTCGATGGCTCGAAGTTGAAGAAGGCTTGGTTGTCTTTCTTACCTTCCTTCTTCTTGGCCAGGATGCATCGGGCGAATTGTTCCAGGGGAGGGGGTTGGCTTACGTGGAGGTGCATGGGGTGCGGGAGACTGAAGGGTCCGTCGGGGTCGTTCTCGACGAGCCAGTATGTCCACTACAACCCGACGATGTTAGTATGGTGAGAATGATTTGAAGTATGGGTCGAAGCTCACCTGGTTAGCACCATCGACCTGCACGATATTGTCGCTCGTCGGGTAGCTCGTGTTCTGCGTCATGACATAGTCGGCCACCGGCTTGCCCCAGTCGACGTTGATGGCGCTGCCGTTGACCTTCCATACAAACAGCGGGGTGCCAGACAGGTCAATGTTCACGGGTAGGGTGTTGCCGGGCCTCTTCACAAAGCCGCTAACCGGCACATTGCGCGTCACGACAGGGGTCAGATTGGGGAGATCCAAGCACTGGTGGTCGGTGGGCGGCACACCCCGGTTCGTGGGTAAACCACCGGGAGCGCCCGCGTAGTGGAAGATGGCCGCGGGCGTGGGGTTTAGCGAGCCGCCGCAAAAGGCCTGCCCGCCAAAGGTGACGTTGAACCAGTAGTTGCCGGGGGTGCGGTTGGCGTCGATGGTCACGTCGTAGCGCTGGCCGACCGCCAGGAACAGGCTGTCGACCGTCATGGCGTTGACGGGGACCATGTCGGAGGCGATGACGGTCATGGTGTGGTTGACAAGCGAGACCTGGAAGTGGTTCTCGGTGGAGGTGTTGATGATGCGCAGACGGTGCCGCTTCCCTGGGGTGAGGGTCACATTGGCCCACTGGCCGGCGCCGGTGGTGGGGTGTTTGGCCGTGCCGTTGAAGAGCACGTTGTCGCTGAATGGCGCGCCGTTATTCATGGTAAAGTGGACGAGCTCGTCGGCGCTGGCGTAGTAGTAGTCCATGAGCGGGAACACGCCCAGGTCGATGTCGTAGGGGAGTGACGCCGGGCCGTTAATCTGGATTGTGCCGACTACGCCGTTGCCGTATTGCGCTGAGAAGTGGGAGTGGTACCAGCTCGTGCCGTATTGCTGCGCCTTGAACCGGTAGACTCTCCGGCCTCCGGGTGGAATAGGACATTCGGTGACGCCGTTGGCGCCATCGTGCAGGTTGGTGTCCTTTTGATGCATGCCGTGCCAGTGGATAGAAGTACTACGAGAGTTAGTGCCGAGGTATACATCACTTCCGAAGTCAAGAACATACCCGTTGGTGTCAAGGTTGTTGATGACGGTGACCTGAATCGTATCGCCCCAATCAGCGAAGATCGTGGGCCCTGTGGTGAGATCAGTCTTCGGATTCAGGAGGGCATTGGTGAAGTCTGGAACCAGAGAGTGACATACCCATGATCTTGTCTGAGACCGTATCCGTTAGCTTAGGATGCACAACTCGAAAAAGCACCACGGCATGACATACTGTTGATCAACATGACCTTGTTCTTGACGACTCCATCAGGGCCCGTCCAATTCTCCTCCTCAGTGAGGGTAAAAGTGTACTGTCTCGCGTTAACCTCCGTCCCCGTTATAGGGTTCAAAAGGGGCACTTACAGGCCGAACAACCCCTGTATCAGGGCTGTTGACTTCGTAGTCCGTGTTGATATTGTAGCCGGTGGTCCAACAGGCCCGGTTGCTGGGAGTGTGGCAGCTTGTTTGACGAGGCAGTACCGCCGCTTCCTGTCTTTCTTCGATGGGGACAAGAAGGTCCCTCTGGGAAGCGGCGGAAGGGGGTGCGGCTGCTCCGCCGGGAACCAGAAGGCCCACGGTGAGCGCCAAAGCACCAAAGAAGAACTTCATCCTCAGGATACTGGGAAGCTGCCTGGTGCGAGAGAAAGAATAAAAGTAGGAAGCTTGTCGGGGAATCCTGTGCGTCCTGGTAAAGCTGAGAATGCAGACTGGTCGACAGGACAACCCGCCCCCTTTGTAGACCATCGCACAATCATGTCGTAGGGGGGTTTACAACACATTTGGTCTGATTCGGGATAGCACCTTCTCTCCCCCCTTTCCGAGATACCACCCACACACGAGATAACGTGGGCTAACCAACCCTGCCCGTAGATGAGGGGGCATCCGTGAAAGTTCCCCGGGCCATGAATAGGCCGAGGTGAAGGAATGTGACGCTAGGGGAGGATGGGGTTGGAAATCACCATAATGGTGAGGGCGGCTCGGGTACTGGTGATGTTGGGTTGTGCCTTGCATCTCTCGTGACTCTGGGGAACGCGGGTTCGGCGGCTACGAGGGAATGAATGGAATGGTAATGGTGTAGGGGAACGACGTTGACTAAGGAGTTGATACTAAAGATGGGAACCGCTTTGGGCCATGTTGGATCCCACATCCCACTACGCCCTTAATCTCCGTGGAAATTGTCCTCGGGGCGGCAGTAAGCCTTGCCGGCAGTGCTTGGTCATCTGAAGGGAAGCAACCCGCATGTGACGGTCTTCATTCAGAAGAGAGCGCCCGCTCGCGATAGTGGCTGCTTTGGAGGGGCTCGCCTCGAGGCATGAGGGTGTGAAAGGAGTAACCGAGATCGATAGTTCGCCCACATCTGCAGGTAGGCGGGGGGTTCAAGTCGACGAAGGAGTTCAGTATGGGACCGGGTTGTGGAGGTGAAGCCCTGAAGCTCACTTCCCTGGACCCCAGCGGATGGCAGAGTGAGGAAAGCAACTGTAAAACAGCAAAGGGGGCCAAAAGCTTCGGTCCTGCAGCATGTATTGGCTTGGCCGCCCGTGGTGCTCTGACCTCTGTGACCATCATGTGTCCAGACGCGGATATACCGCTTGGGGCGAAGGGCGGCCAACGGCGGGACGGGATAAGAAAAGTTCCTGGGTATCTCCCATCCTCTAAACCGTGTTCATCCGATGTGTAGCTGCATACTGGACAGGTGTCCAAGCATCTCGTGGTCAGCCCGGGAGGTCTTGGCAGGGGCAAAGCCACGCGGGTTAGGAAGATGCAAAGTTGAGGTGACCTGGACGGCAACTTGAGTGTACCCGACTAAACCCGACTAAACGTGGTGGCTTGGGGCGTCAAGTGGACATGGCTCGGTGACAGCCAAGCATACGCCACATTCTGAGAACATTTCTAGAACATTGGGCATACGACGGAGAGCCGGAACCAAACTGACCTGCCAGATCAATATGATTTGCATGAAGGCGTAATATTGATGGACCCTATCGAGTGAAGATAACAGTGAACATTAACGGGTCGCTCAAGTAACCCCAGGCGCTGAACAAGAGGGAACAAATGCGGCAACTCCACCCGAGGAAGCTCGATTGTCAGGATCGTCAGGGGTCCGTTGTGGTGACGCCCGTGAAGAGGCGCAACCTGCCGTGTAGGGTAGCATGGCGTATGGATTGCGCCATTATATCGCTTTTGGGGGGATGTCACGCTCAGGGTACCATTCCTGCCGCACTGCCGCGCTGCTAGCGGAGAGTTCTGCCCTACCGGTAGGGTATTTAGATTGACATGCCGCTCGTCTCCTCTTCTCTGGAACAAGCATTCATTGGTTGATGATCTTCTCTTGGCGGAGAGGGAAAGCCAGGAGCACCTGGAAGATCACGGCGTGACAGCGAGTATTAGAAGTTCCTTGGAAGTTCCTACCGTTTCCAGGCGTCTCTCAGCCTCGGAGAGAAATTGACAGTGTCTTTCTTTCTTGGCTCGGCTATAACGGCATTTTTGTCAAGTGTAAGTAGGAAATCACTCTTGTCCATAGTGCCGGCAACCACACCGACAGTGAAGGGCTAGCCACACAGGCAGGTATCGAGGGTAAGGCTAGGATAACGTCACGTATCTCTGCGATCGATTGGACGCGGCTTCCTCGATTACCTACACCCTGCGGGACAAATGGAGGTCAGGTGGAGTTCGGTAAGGGGTTAAAACACGGGCGCAGGGTCTGGTTCTTACATCCGAATGTGTATAAGCTTGCGGCTTCCTGTGCGCGAGGGGAAAAGGGAACACCGTCATTGGCCAGTCAAGGCTCCAGTTGGCACGATGTTGGCCCGTCCAGTACCAAGTAAGTCAGCAAGGCTCGAGGCTACCCGGTGGCGTCAACCTAACTTGTATTCGGTTAGCAAGCAGAAATAAGTAACTGGAGTAGGCAGGCTTGCGGACGCGGCAGCCCAAGCTTCCAACCCCAAGTTCTGGATTCGAACTTAGGCGGCTGCGGCGCGCTTTATTTTTGCTGGCAGGCTGACGACAGGTACAGGACTGTGACCGCTGCGGATTTAATTCTATGATGTGCTTGTTCTTGACATCCACGAGGGAACTTGGTGTCCCCCAGGCGCGGCCGATGTCACCACTTCTGGGGGCTGAAACTCAACCGTTCGACCAGGAAGCGGGGATTTGCGGTTCTATCGGGTGGGATCCCAGCGTGTCGGGGACTCAGATCGCCTCGGGTGGAGGTTTGACAAAATCGAGCCAGTCGGGGGACGAGAAACCAGGACTGCTGGTAAAGGTTGCATGTTCGCCCGGGACGTATGCCCCAACCCAGGTCGGTCCCGAGCCGCGCTTGGTTGCTAAATAAAGCCGCCCCACGAACTATTGGCCACATGCTGCACGTAACTCATTGTTTACCCAATGGCGAGGGCTGTAAATCAGCATCCCTTGAGTCATGGCTCGAAACTTTCCGTGACGGCCAACTACAGGCTGTCCAAGCTCAGCGTTGTGACGTCCCTTCGACTTTGACAGACCGAGCATCTCGCCAAGTAGACTATCTGCTCGCTTGTGTCATGACGCCGGTAGTTCGGCGGAGACTTGTCGTCCAAAGCGGGGGTTTATTCACCGGAAGGTTTCCGCCGGAGTGGATTCCTGCCGGTAATTCAACTGTCACAAGTGCCATTGCAACGACACCCGCGATGATGAGGAAAGTGAGACAGACATTAACTTGAATTTACGGAAATGAACACACACGGTGAAATGTGTTATTCCGCGGATTGGGCGCCTGTAAGCATCTGCCGATACGATATCCGAGCACCCAGGGGGCGTCGGCCGAGGCGCACACGGCCTGCTTGAAAAACTGCAGCATGCATTGCACTCGGCAACACGAGAGCCAGGCCGAAGTGCGTCCCGGTAATCATCAACCCCGATTCGCACTCTCGCACTTCCCAAGTTCCCGTCTTTGGGATGCCACATGCAGCTGCGGCTTGTGGGGGGCGACCTTGGCGTTGGGTGTCCAAGCCACGGGAATGCCTTGTCCGACGTCCGATGGGAGGAAAAAAAGGAAGAAAATACAGAGAAGTAATGGAACAAAAACTACAGTGCCGAATGGAACGGTGAGATTTGGTCAAGTGCCTTGCAGACTACCCTGCCGTCACACTACTGCGTAGGCCCGGGAGTTGTTGTAGGTAACCTCGGGGGCTCAAGTTGACAAGGTTTTTCGCACCACCTTCCTCTCGAGGTTTTGTTGGAGGAAGGGAGGAAGGAAGTATTGCAGTCTGCTGGAAGCTGAGAAGCAGAGCACAACAATCCGGAAGGTGGGGTTTCGGACAGGGCCCGGCTGTTCGGGATGAATGATTGGCTGGTATGGTGGGGCGATGTGAAAGCTGAGCGACAGGGGCGAGGATCTACTCCAGGGATGTGGCCACTTGGCTGCTTGGCAAGCGCCATCGTTCGTGATGTCGTCCACGGGGCAGGATGCCGGTTTGGGGGGTCGCCTGTTCGTTCCCTTCCTCTTTGCGGCCCTTTCGCGCTAATATGTCGGGCGCATCGCACCTTCCCGCTTGCCCCACCAATCTTAGCAGATACGGGCGGCATCCGCGGCCTTCTTCAATCCCACCACGTGCTGCTCCAGCCAAAGCGAAATATTTCAGCGCTGCAGGGCTGCCGGGTGACACCCAGAAGTGGGAGTGATCGGCGGCAATAGCCACGCGAGCTTGACACCATTGAGTGGAGGAAGCAGGCATGTGGCACCCCAAAAGCCAGCTTTTCTCGGGATTTCAGGTGGCCAGGCCACAGTCTTCGTGACTTCATCCTGCTCCGAGTTCCCCGGAAATAGCGGCGGAAGGCGGTCAGCCATCAGATCAGCCACCGATGCGCCAGATTGAATGCTGACTGGCGCGGATGAGGAGATTCGACGACATACAATATCACATTCACACATCAACACATGAGCCAAGATCTCCCGGCGTTTCGGGATGAGGGGGGGGATCTCAATCAAGAAAAAGAACACGAGGAGGTAGTCTCATGTAGGAACCGGAGTTGAGGACGCCACGTTATGTAAGGTCTGCAACACCCGGCCTCTTCCACGTTCTCCATGCGCCGTGGCTTTTCACCCCACTCCCTCTTGCTCAAGTACCTTAGGGAGCGAGGTTGGAATGACTCGGACTGAAATGGTGGAGGGGGGAGAGGGGGGTGACTTGAAGGCAGGGAGGCAAAAGTCCTGGGAACAAGTTGGAAGATTCAAGGGACATTGTGACAGACAAACCCCGGTGTGTCATGCATCAAGTACCGGTATTGTATTGTGTGCGCCATCGATGTGAAAGTGACCAACTCGTAACAGTCGTTCCCTCGGCACATTCCCAGCCCAATCCAGTGTCGGACATTTGATGATTCATGTATGGGTGTGTGAGTGCCGCACCGTGAAACCATGAAACCAATAATGAACTTGACAAACCCGTTATTCAGCCTCATCCGAAGAGCCGTTACCCGCTGTGTCACACAACTGACTGGCATGGGACCTGCATATGCGCAACAATTGAAAATTCCCAACTCTGTGTTGATTCAGCATCAAGTTTCTGACTGAAAAATATCGAATTTCCCAAATCTCGGCAGTTATCAGGACCAACCCTAACAGTTTAGTTCACTTAAGTTATGCCTGGCCACCACCCGCCCCCTCCCCCCCCTCCTTCACACACTGTGCCATGCTTGGCACAAGGTAGAATAGTGTGATTCTACTAGCACTCCGTTGTGATGTGGCGTTGGGTCTCCGCGAAAAGGTACGGCGAGGATCTGCTGAGTTAAGAATTGGTAATAACCTCTGAATGTGTGACGCGGGAGCTTGACGCGCGAGGTGGCCGGCCTTATTCTCCCTGCGGCCAAACACAGTGACCGGCTTCGAATCTCCTCTTCTTGACCCATGTGTATTGCTGATCTTCTATTCAGGTGTCGAGATATGTACTTTGGTACGATTTAGGTTACATCGGCACTCCATCGCAGGATGTGTGTGATGAGCCTCTCTCTAACATTGAGAGTTCGGAAATGAAGAGAATGTAAGGTAGGTAAGGTACCTAGGCAGATGCCATATTAAACCCACATCAGCGTAATTCAACAGGTGTGTGCAGCAATTCCCCAAAGGCCGGGTCTAGGAAACGTCGCCTTTTCAAGTTCCTGGTGCAAAACATGAGTACATGCACCTATATGATAAGCCTTGAACTATTATCGGCGAAAAAATGAGTTGTCCAATCCCAACCCCGACGGCTTTGGCGCACGTGGAGGAGCTGCGGAATGCAGATCGAATCTCATGGCAGTGGACGAACCAAGACACACGAAGCCCTGGATCTGACAACGTTCCAAGATGCACATGCAGGACGCCGGTTTGGATCGCTTCCACAGCAGCATCTGAGCAGCCACACTGCAATCGATCCCGATATTCGGCCGCCACTGTATGGTCCTATAGCTCAAGAGTCAAGCATGCATGATGCATGATAAATGGCCGCATATTGCCGCTCTTAGTCTTTCCTGGAAACCGGGACCCCAAAAATGAGCGCGGCTCATTGCAAGGGGCAAAGGGTAAGGGGAAGCATGCGGTTTGATGCATCAGCCACATAAATGGGAAGAGTATCCTTAGACCTTGATGGAAAACGCATCCCTTAACTGATCGATTCACGGCCTTGGTTCTTAAATATTAGACTATTATTCATACTCCGCTATGCCCTAGGGCGTGCCGGACCCTCAGCTATTTAGTGTACAGGAAAACCGTGCCCTCCCGGGCCGGTGAAAAACCCATACCAACAATTAAGGAACGATGCGTTCTGGTGAGTCTACGTATACAAAGAGAGGAGGCCTCCTGGCCTCCGAACGGGGGCGCTTCAGGCCGCCGCTTCCAGCTCGAGCCTCCTGGCTAAGTTGTACATCGGCAGCTTCCCCGAGTCCGTCAGCCAGTCGAGGACTCTCCTCGCGAGCCGTGCAGTCGTGGGATTGATGCCGTGTAGAACAGTGTAAAAGTCCCGTCGTGTCCGAATTCCAGTTCTCTCCCATCTTCTAGTCAACGGTGGGGCCAAACACCACACTACCAGGTGTTCGGCAGTCTCTCGTCCCTCGCCACACTCGCAGGCAGGAGTCAGAACCTCCGGGACTCCCCGTGTAAACAAGAAGTCCCGTAAGCCTATCGCTCCCGTCCGGATTTGAATCAGCAGTGAGCTCTTTGCCTTGCTGAGACCGTCGTGCCTCCTTAGGGTTTCGTTCCGGAATAGCGTCTCCTGCTGATGGTCAAAGTCGTCCGCCGGCCTGGTGATTGCCCTGCCGTCCCGTTCCTTTAACCACCTGGCTTTCCAAGCCTCTTCTACTACCCTGTTCGTATCAACGGTTCCCCCCGTCCAGCGCATGACCGTGCCCGCGGCTCTCTCCACCGCCGTAGGCCCTTGAGGTCCCAAGGTTCGCGGTCGGCCCCTGTTGCCCCTCCTCGAGCTGAGTCTCTGCTGAATCTTGCGGCAAGCGGTGAGGACAACGCTCGCCGCCGTCTTCTTGCCGCCTCGACCGTCGTCCAGATCGGGTCGTTGGAGTCGGTTTTCGAAATCGGCAAGCCGTTTTTTTAGGTACAAGTCCAATGGTGGGACCCACGTCTCTGTCTCGAGGTTACGGATTGGGGTAGACTTAAAGGCTCCCGCCACAATCCGCAGGCTCTTGTTCTGGGCCTTCCCGAGGGCCTTAGTGATGCCTTTCTTTACCGGCTCGCCTCCCACATCCGTGGGGATGTGAAACGATGATGCGCCATAGGCCAGCGCCGACCGGATGCACTTTGTGTACACTTCTCGCGCTTTGGCTAGCCCCATTCCCCACGTCTTTGCCACGATCCTCGACAGGGAATAGCTCTGGGTCCTCAGCTTCTTCTCCACCGCCACCAGGTGAGCCTTCCAGTTGAGTTTCCAGTCCAACCAGACCCCCAGGAACCTGGCAGACCCTTCTGGTTTAACGGGGCTAGTGCCTCCCCCTGGGTTGGCAAGGTTTACCTGTTCGGTTCACTGCCGTCGCCCTTTGTTGAAATGGATGAGTTCACTCTTTTCCGGGGCGAACTTCATCCCCCGACTGTCCGCCCATCGTATACACGTTTCCCACGCCGCCTCTAGTTGCCGGACATTGTCTGGTTCTTAAACACTACCTACCTAGGTAACTTCCATTGTACCGGGTTCCGTAAAAGCGAGCCCGTGGCCCTGTCTACCACAATAATACCCAAGATGATGTCGTCCGGGGTTTCCTCGGGGTGGTAAGCTTTTTGTCTTCCCTTTCTCAGTAGTCCACCAGACTGGAAACTGTTTCAGCGGGAAGGACATGAGCTCCGCGCACGGCCCATTCAATACCGAAGTAATCCGTACATTCACACATACACGCGACGCGTGACCAACTCGCCGTATCCCCTGTCTCCTCCAGGCAACCACCACCCATGCCAGTCTCCTTTTTGCCAAAGTAAACCACCAGCGGATCATTGCATGCCTCGGCCAAATCGCAATCATGGGAACTCGAGGCCTCGAGATAGTGCGTTTCGACGGCCGCTATTACATTCGTCACAACCAATATGACAGCTACTTCGAGGGCCCGTTGCCGCGAGCCGCCGCGCAGCTTGCAAGCACCCGGGCGTCCTGCCGGCGGAGCTCTACCGCCGGATTTTTGACTTTGTCGACTACGATACCTGGAAGACTTGCTCGATGGTGTCGCCACAGTTTCGCACCTACTGTCTGGAAAAGCACCGGCTTGATGATCACGCGAGGATCGTGGCTGGTCCTTTCCTCACGGTACTGCCAGAACAGGATGCAGAGAAATATGGGTTGCTGTCCTTTGACTTTGAGGACATGGAAACGAGGAAGATTGTTCGAATGATGCAGGCACGACACCATCGTGGGGCTGAGGAATATCGTTGGATGCCTGTTATCGGCAGCAACCGGAAGGCGCTCATGGTGGACGTGATCGTCCAGTTTAAGCCGGTGGAGGAACCAAAGGACAAGGTGGATGAAGCTCGTCAAGTTTAAGACGCTGTTTGGTGCCTCTCCCTTTCTATTTGGCTGCTAACGGTAATTGCAGCTTAGCCGAACTCAATCTATTTACAAGGAGGAAGGTTCCCATTAGAGGGGCGCGATGACGGCAACTGCAGGGTCGTGTACATAGGCTGACGGGGATAACATGTGGATTGGCTTTGTTGTTGAACACTACGAATACCAACCCCACTTATCGTGCTCTTCATGGATCAAGATCTTACTTATATCCACTCCAACTAAGATCTAGGCACTCAACCACGTCAGGCAAAGTGTACTGCGGCTCCAAGCCCTTCCCCTGCCCCCCTTTCCCCCCTCTCTCTAACCTCCGAGGGCAATCCTGCCCAGAAACCGCGACTTTCTGTTGCATCCTGCTCAGTTGCTCCCAAGAGGGGCAGTTACCACGCCAAGTGTGTTTATGGCATCGCTGACGTTGCAATACTATGCATAGATGGCACGGAATGGTTAGCTTTTCTTTCCCTCTGTGGGCGACTGAGACTGGGCCAATTAATACATACCCGAGCGCCAAAAAAGCCGACAATTGCGGCCCCCGGCGCGGCCGACATCTTCCTTACCACACTACGCTTGCTCCTCGATTCGGGCCTCCTGCCAGATTCACATGTCCTTCCGCGGTTCGTGCCCATCTTGAACCAGACCAATATCCCTTCTTCGCTAAACCAGCCAGCATCGGATTGACTCTCGGCGGGGAACTGCTGGCAGACCTCAACTTTGTCAATGACTTCGCCGCCGGGCCCGTCGATATGGAATGTGACGGTTGGTTTCTCCTCCGGAAGGTTACTCAGACCGAATCTCCGGCACCCGAGCGGCATTTCTTTGTCGAAGGAGAAATGGATACAGAAGACGACATCATACATCTTGACCGCGACCTCGGTGAGGCTTTGGAGGTAGGCCCCACCGGGACCCCCAAAGCAAGTCCAGAAGACTGGCTTGTATCCCCATGTGTACGATTTCAGTGGCCCAAAAAAGTCTTCGTTTAGATCAAGGCCCGGTGATGGGACGTCTGGATACCATATTGCCGCGCTTCTCAGCGTTCCCTCTTGGTCTTCTTTTGCCGTATTCGTCTCTCGGGCAACTGCAATACTGACAATTCTAAACGCCTGTTTATTTTAGATCACAGTAAGGTTAGCGAGCTGAAAAGACGAATCACTAGAGGGAATAAGTGTTTTCCTACATCAAATCCAACATCCAATGCTGTGATCCGGTGTCCCAGCGCGAGCCGTTCGGTCTGGGGCACGTCATCTGGGCACCCGAGCCAGGCCGAAGGCTTCCCGGTCCTGCCATCAATGCACTGGAGGGCGTGGATACCACCTGACCCGACGGCGAGGTTGAAGCCCGCCAGCCCGGAAATTTCCGAAGAATACCATCGGCCGTTACTATAGCCTAGTCGTACAGCTTCTCCGGATGGAGTGCTCAATTTTATCCCGGAAATATATCCTGAGTCGCCAAGACGGATAGTCGATGCGGAAACTTGTGATATGCCATCCGGGATAGCCACTTGTTTACTTCGAACTCCCCGAGAAGCCTTCTCTGACTGGCAGAAGCTCTTGGGCTGTTGATCCGGCATACTCCCGGCCGCAAGCACCCAATCTCGGCACCCCTCTGGGAGGGGCTCGGAAGGATGTTCACCCCAATGCAACTCCAAGATGGCTGTAGCGTGCTGAATCAGGGCCCATATTCGCTTTCTGTTCCGGAGACGCTGTCCGATATGGCTGTCGGCCGTGCGATGGTACAGGGAACGCCAGTCTCTGCCCGCGATGTTGTTATCTCGAACCTCAAACAACCACGAGCGATCTAAGCCTCCCCAAAACCGCGATGCCCAAAACTGCTGGTCATGGAACACATGCCAGAATGACTTCGATGCATGCCGAGCGTTCAGCACATCCGAGGTCGCCTGATATTCCGCAACAGCAGAGCACAACTCCACAGGAAGCGAGTTAAATGGGTCTTGTCCGGTTCGCCTGATCGGCCTCATGGGCAAAAACGGATTCTCAGGGTCGGAACGCCCATGCAAAGTGTCAGCCAGAAGGTTATTAACGTCGGCGGCCGCGAGTGGATCGGCGTAATACGGACTGTCGAACCAGCTCTCCTGGACGTCTCGGTCTATAACCCGGTCTTCCCAAGGGAAATAATCTTTGTCCTCGATGACGGCAGCCCCCCCATAGTTGTGGCCCCAGTTGAGACTATGCCTTCCCATAACGAGCGGAAGCGAGTCGCAGACTTCAAAAAGCCTTTCGCGCGGGACCGGAGCAGGATGATATGCTTGTTCTAAAAGAGACCAGCATGCATCGTGGAAAACAAAGCCACGATTTCCGTTGATATCCGAGGAGCCCATAACGGCAAACTCGTCCTCGTCTGGATCGTCATAACCGGCGTCGTCCCACCGCGCGTTGGGGTCTGGGGGGGCGATGAAGGCCCCGCGGCGCGGATTGGTGCAACGACCGACTCCGGTCAAGATGATACCTTCTGGGGAGGAGCACACTGAGGCTCAATCAGTAGCTGTTCTTGATATGGGGTAAGTGTCAGCGACTACTTACAGCCACGGAACTGATTCAGCCACGAAGTAAACCCCTCGTCGTCGTAAATAACCCATCCGCAGATAGTACAGAAGCGAATGGGCGGGCTCATTTTCTTTCTCTTGTTCTTTCCCGATTCTTTTTTTTGGAAAAAGCTCGTAAACGGGTTAAAGTATGGACAATAATGCCGCAATCAACGAGAGAAAGAATGGAGGAGGAATGCCGGTTGCGTTGATCGTTGGCTTAAAAGCGGCGAGGACCTCAACTT